TGATGCCTAGAGCGCTGGTGACTGTATCTGTATCAAGATTCAAACTCTTTGTTGTAGTATCGCTGATGAAGTCATGATGGTTTGAATGCCATTTGTCAAGATCGAAGCAACCCTTCTGTAGAATGGCCGTTAACTGATGTCTGATATTGGTGAGTTGATCAATGGAATCTGCTCCACCTAAGAAGTCGTCGACAAAGAACGCTGATTTAATGAGTGCAGCGCCTATTGGGTATTGTGTTTCAAATTTGTCCGCCAAATACTGCAAACTCCTGGTTGCTAGGAAAGGTGCTGATGCAGTACCATAAGTGACTGTATTCAACTCGTAAGTACTAACAGGATCGGACTCCGTATCTCGCCAAAAAATATATTGGAATTTTCGATCTGGTTCATCTATCAGTATCTGTCGGTACATCTTAACAATGTCAGCCGTCAAGGCATATCGGTGCAAACGAAATTGAAGTAGCAACAAATATAACTCCGACTGAATTGTCGGGCCGACCAGTAGAATATCATTTAATGAACGTTGCGAAGTTGTTGAACATGACGCATCAAAAACCACCCTCAGCTTGGTCGAAGTGCTCGACGGTTTTAAAACACAATGATGAGGGATATAATAATGAGGTTCGTTGGTTTTCGGAGTCTCAACACGCGTCATGTGTCCGAGCTCTCGATATTGTTTCATGAATTCTTGATAGTCTTGCTTCAGTGCACGATTAGATGACAATCGCCGTTCTACAGAATAAAAACGGCGCAAGGCGATATTGTGTGTCAAACCAAGACAATCTGGTGAATCTTTGAATGGTAACCGAACGACAATTCTTCCCATCGCATTTTGGTGAACCGTTTCACGATATAATGACTCACACGCAACATGTGCTGGTGACCATGACTTTGAAGCCGATTGCACTTCCTCTATCTTCCACATCATTTCTAATTGATCGGAGACTGTATCTTCAACTGATAATAGGCATTTTGCTGCTGGTGATGCAAATGGCTGACCCTTGTACTTGCCAGATACAATCCATCCTAATAGTGTTTTTTGAAGTACTGGAAGATTTTCACCTAGTTTGATTTGACCGACAGACAAAATATCAAAGAAACTTTCAGCTCCAAGCAAAAGATCAACGCGCTTGGATTTAAAGAATTGCTCATCGGCGAGAGGTGTATTTGGTGGAACCTTCCACGACGATATATCGATTTCAGAACTTGGTTGATATGCGATGTGATTCGTAATACCAAAGTTTAAAGCAAGTTCAAAATTTGAATGACGAGATTTGATTGATGTGAGCGTCTGATACTTTATGTT